AGTATTCCAGGTGAGGCCGGACCAAAGCAGAATACAGTGGCACTATTATTTTGAATCCCGAATGCAATCAAGTTTTTATGGGGAGCGGGCTGCCAAAAACCCCATTTAACCCAGGATAATCAGTACTGGATTTTCCCCCAATTTTTTTTTTTTAAAGATTTGCACTGTCGGCAGTGTGAATAGCCAATGCAAATAGTCCCAGGATATTTTGGGAATAAACTCTGCATGCCTTGAACGCATGTGAGCAACTGAACTCCCAGAAATGCACATAGATGCAGTTCCATAGCGTGAATAACAAACTCAGAATGCATAAGTGACGTTATTCGCATTGTTCTGGTAAAAATAAAGGACATCTGAATGACCCCTTGGAGATGTCTCATTCATAGGGTTGCCATAAGTCAAGGCCAAAGTTTGGGGCTTCTGGAAGTTGTAGTCCAAAAAGTAACCCCCACCCCCCCAGGTTACCAGGTGTCCCTTATTATAAGGGTAGCCCCATATTTGAGATCTGGAAATCTCATCTTTCATTATAAGGGATGCACTCTATTTGAGGGTTGGAAAGTTTTTTCCTTTTCTGTAGAATGGACAAGAATCCAAAAAATCATATATTTTGAGGTTTGCACCCTTCATAAAGAATGTGTCACGTAATTCATGTAGACAATATGTTAATTTTACAAAGAAATACATGCACCAGATCCCACCTTGGAAGCTAAGCTGACAGATGTCCTAAGCGCAAAGGAGGACAAGGCACCGCAAAATGGAGGACCTTCAAGTAAAAATTTAAGATATGACCAAATAAAATCTCAAAACACTCCAATAAATGTAAAGTCATGCTTCTTAGCCAAGCTCCAAATGGAGGACATTTTGGAATTCCTCCTGGACAAAAGGTTGAAATGTAGAACTTGTCCTGGAAAAGGAGGACGTCTGGTCACCCTGAGTCTCACTCTCTCATCCTCAGAGGACAGCAATGGCAAAAAACCCTCTTGGAAAAATAATCTTGCTATAGGTTTGCTTTAAGATTGTAATAATTCAGAACTGATTTGAAGACACACAAGAACAGAGTGAGCAGAGGTCCTAACCACAAAGGAGGACACGGCATTACAAAATGTAGGACAGCCAAAAAAATGGAGGGCATTACAAAATAAAAGCTAAAAACACTAATGTAAAGGTAAGTCCATGTGTCTTAAGTCATGCTCCAAATGGAGGACATTTGGGGATTCCTCCTGGACAGAAGGTTGAAAATGGAGGGCACATCCTGGGAAAAGGAGGATGCCTGGTGACCCTGCCTTAAGGTCAAATGTGTCGTGGGGTTTTCTTGGCCAGATTTGTTCTGAGGAAGTTTTGCCTTTGCCTTCCCCTGAGGCTGAGAGAGTGTGACCTACCCAAGGGTCACCCACTGAATTTCATGGCTGAGCTGGGAATTGAACCCTGGCTTCCAAAGCCAGTGTGGCGTAGTAGTTTGAGGGTTGGATTACAATTCTGGAAACCAGGGTTCGAATCCTGTCTCGG